CCAGATTTCTTCTGGGGAAGGAGGGGTGCCCCGCTCCGCACCGGCCAGTGAGCCGTTCCCCCCCTCCCCCCTCCCGGACCCTGGGAGGCAGAGCCTCAGGTGTGGAGGTCTGAAGCGGGGCCGCTTCTGGGGTCCCCAGGGCTCTGCCCTCCCGCAGACACAGGCCGTGTGGCCCGTGGTGTGAGGGAGTGGGCGTTAGTCATTCGTTCATTCATTCAGCCAGACGATCATCCACCAACATCTGCTTTGTGCCAGGCCCGGAGCTGGGCACTGGGACCAGGAGGTGGTGGAGACTCTGCTCCTATTTGCACTCTCCGGGCCCATGGTGCCTTGGGAGGGCGGTGGAACGACGGTGGCAGCAAGCCTGGACACAGCAGGGCTGGCTTGGGAGGCTGGCATGTGTAAATCTACCGTGAGCTCACACCCAGCCTGTGACGTTGGCAGGTGCCATGCCATCCCCTTGGACTCGACATTGGTCTGGCACAAACCCCACCCTCTCTACCCACCAGCAATGACAGTGATGGCATGAGTGTGAGTTCACCCCTGCACACACTTGGGCTGGATACCGCTGGGCTGTGTAAATCCACTGCCACCCCACAAATGCTGCCCTGACCAAGGGCCGGGTCCGGATGCCCCTGTACATATGCTGGGTGTGTGATTTGGATGCCTGAGAATACACTCCCGTTCTGTCCCTGAGGAGTCCTCTTGGGGTGGGGCTGGTTGTGTGAGACACAGCAAGTACGGAACACATGTAAACACCCCCTTTCTCACTTCCCTTCCCTTTCCCCCCAGGCAGCTGGAAAAGGCTGTCTCCCTGGGTCCTTACCCACCCCCCTCCTCCCATAGGGCACATGGCAGGGTGTGTGTCCCGCCCACTGCCCCCGCGCCTCTGCCGCCTGTGTGTGTGTGCAAGTACATGCACACCCCTTGCACAGATCACCTGCCCGAGAGCACTGTCATCACAGCAGCAGTTAACAATTGCTCCTTGTCCTAGGTACCAGGCAATGTGCACGGCCATGCCGGGAGGCAGGAAGTGTTACTCTTCCCTTTGTAAAACATCTGGAAACAGGTACTCGGAGAAATACCTGCCACCCTCTGGTGGCCCAGAGGGTCTGGGCAGAGCCTAGATGTAGACCCAGGCTGTAAGGACTCCGAGTACTGGATTTTCTCCATTGCTACCCTCGTAGGTTGCCCCCCTCACAGAACAAAGATGCGGTTCCAGCCCCTCCACCTTGGTCTGTGGGTCCTTTGGTCTCTAGACTGAGAGTCCGTGGGAATTTGTTCCAGTGACGGGTTAAAAACTGCTCTGCTTTGAGCATCAGTGCCTGGTGTTCTAACATTTTGTCTTTCCTGCTGCAGTTTCATGCTTGGCCCTTTCCCTCAGGGCAGCAGAGACTCCCCTCCTCTGTGGATCAAACCACCCAGGCTCTTCCCTCCCACCCTCAGCCGCCACGGCAAGGAGCATTTGGGATTGACCCCAGCAAGATGGGATTGCTCGTCCTCTTCTTAGCTCTTCCAGGCTTCTTTGCATTTTGCAAAGGTCCCTTCTCTTCCTGAGGCTTCTAAGCTCGCTGACTTGAAGACAACTTGTGGTGATGTGTGCATGGATGTCAAAATCTGTGTAGGATGGACTGGTGAGCTTTAGAACAGAGGGAATCCTCGGAGGTAGGAGCCTCAGTCCCTCTCTTTACAGCTAGAAAAACTGAGGCCCAAGGAAGGGCTGTAACTCAGGCAGGAGTGGCTATTCAGGACCATCTACCGTGGATGGACAGGCTGATGGTCAGTCAGAAATAATCAGGCCTTCACTCTGGCGGAGAAGATGGTGCTGTTAGAACCAAAGGAGGCTGAAGGCTGTGAGAAGCTAGACTGTGAATGAGGGAGTGTGCTCTGTGACCTGTGAGGTGTTGCGTCTAAAACTGGTCAGGGGAGCCACTGACTAGAGATGGGGGTTTGGGCCTCAGGGCCACCATAGGGCATGACTCCAAGGCCATCCCATTGTAGTCTAGCGAAGGCGTCCCAGACCTGTGCAGTGCACAGCCTGAGCAGCCAGCCATGGCCATGTCAACCGTGTCACACAGGAGCTGAAGGAAGGCAGTGAAAAGGACTTCCATGCTGCCAGGAGAGCCCAGGTCCAAGAGAAAATGTAATCAAGTCCTAGAAAGGATCGGATAAATGGCAGAGGGTGGATCCCCAACGGGCGACTACCAAATCTCTGGGGAGATTTCAGCACACAGAACAGGATCGTTATGGTGCCCCGTGTCCAGTCTTGAGAGAAAAGGCAAGAGGAGAGCCATTGGTCTTGCCCTGAGGGAGCGCTCCGTCTAGTGGACAAAGGAGAGAGGCCTACCTTGGGGATGAAAGTCTGCAGTAGGGAGGTGAGGGCTGGCAGTGGGGAGGGGCTGGGAAATGCACAGAGCTACCTGTGGTGGCAGGCCTCAAGTGCAGTGCAGACAGAGAGGAAGCCAGTGGGGGCTTGAAACAGCGAAGGCTGAATATCTCTAGAAGTTGGGCCTTAAAGGCTGGCAGAATTTGGACAGGCAGGTGGCAAGGGGCAGGATTCCACGGGCAGGTGAGGCTAGGAGGGTGGGACGGGAAAGGTGGAGGTATGGTGGGTGGGAATGGGGGTTGGGGGGGAGGAGGTGCCCAAGGGTGGCGAAATCTGTCTGGCTGGGGTAAAGCATCCCTAAGGGGGGTGCAGAAGGCCGAGAGGAGCTCCGGAGGGCATGGAGGATGGGAGGGTTGTGTAAGGCTTGGGTGTTTTGGTGTTGTTTTTGCAGTACGCGGGCCTCTCACTGTTGTGGCCTCTCCCGTAGCGGAGCACAGGCTCCGGACGCGCAGGCTCAGTGGCCATGGCCCACGGGCCCAGCCGCTCCGCAGCATGTGGGATCTTCCCGGACCGGGGCACGAACCCGTGTCCCCCGCATCGGCAGGCAGGCTCTCAACCACTGCGCCACCAGGGAAGCCCGGCTTGGGTGTTTTGACAGATCCCTCTGGCTGCTCCTGTGGGGGCAAAGCGAGGCCAGCCTGGCAGGGCGGTCTTAGTTGGGAAGAGTTTGTGCTGGTTCTTGCCAGCCGCGCGGCCCCTCCCTTCCTCCCTGGGCCCCTCTACCCCTCCCTCCACATCCGAGCAGGTTGGCAGGGGTGTCTGCCCGCCCAGGGGCAGGGCAAGTGGAAGGCCGTGCCGGGCAGGAACAGAGGCAACAGCCAAGAGGGTCTTGGAACCTCTCAGGCTGGGCCAGGACCATCTGGAGAGGCGGGGCTGGGGCCACAGGGCTGGGCCTTCCAGGCTGGAGGAACCAGCTTATTTGCTCCCAGGTGTTGACCTCTGCTCTGAGGGGCGGAGCCAGCGGGCTGGACTGTATCAAACCCAGGAATTCGAGTGAGTAAAATACTGATCCTATAGTGGCAGAGCTGAGAGGAGGCTTCCAGAAACTCATGTTCACAGCCCTCACCACGAGGGGATACTGAGGCCTGCGCTGTGGGGTGTAGGTATTTGCCCAAGGCCACAGAAAAAGGTGGTGGCAGAGCTGGGCCCAGAACCTGTGTTTCCAGAGCTTTGGCTGGGACCTTGTTCTGCTGAGTCAGCCGCCCCCTCACATCCCAAAGCCAGACCCTGCTTCATGGCTCCCAGGTGGTGGCGTGGGGAGTGGCCGGAGCTCTCAGAGGACAGAACGTTTGGAAGCTTGGGAAAGGGACCAACTCTGGGATTCTCAGGACTTCGGGGAGGTGCCAGGAGATTTGAGACGCCGCTCAGAAACTCCCAGGCCGAGGGTGCTGGGATGGCTTCGCTGTGTATCTGGGGAAGAGCATCACATTTCTGCGGGGAGATTGCAAATGCACCTTTTCAGCTTCCGAGGGAGAAGGCTAGGGCCAAATCAGATGACTGTGTCCCAGCTCAAGGCCTCTCTAAAACTCTGCCCCCAGGAAGCCTTCGGGGCCTTCCATGCAGTGGGGGAAGTGCTGGAGCTTGGGCCAGTCTCTGGTTCCTCTGCTGAGTTACAGTGTCACAGCAGCCGACCTGGCAGGCCCCAGCAGGCCCCAGATTGAGACCCTTTGCTGCCTCTTAGCCCTGGCTGTGGTATGGTGTGGTGAGTCAAAGACAGCACAGTTAAAACAGAGTCCTACCCTCAGCGCATGAAGCCCCAGTCCTAGCTGGTATTCGAGTGGTGGAACACAGGGTATGAGGACATGGCTAGGCCCCCCTTGCTGGGGCCATGTCTGTGTCGGACTGGCCAGAAAGTGGGATGTTTTCTCGTATACATCTTAGTATACAGTGGTAATTCATGGCTAGAAGAGGCTTGGAGATCTTCTGGTCCTACCTGTTAATTATGCAAGTGGGACACTGAGGCCAGAAAGGCAAAGGGTTTTTCTCTGAGCTCTGGTGTCTTCAACGACAGAGGGTGTGAACTCCCAAGACCAGTGAGGCTTCGAGGACTGGGAGCTACTCAGTAGGCTCTGGGTGCCCCCCAGAAATTCTCTGGGATTCCAGGCTTGGGAGAGGGAGGGAGAGCGTCAGGGATTATCATCCTGGGGACAGTGTGGCTCATTTTTTGGTAGCAGTCAACATGCTTTACTGTCCAATGGCACGGCAGCATCTCTTTGAAGTAGGGCTGATGTTATTCCCATTTTATGGATGAGAAAACTGAGGCCTGGAAATGTTAAGTGTCTGGTTCTAGGGTCACACGTAAAGTCAGAGGCAGAGCTGGAATTAGAACTTAGGTCTCTTCTCTTGGATTCAGCATTCCTAGGAGTTGGACTGTGTCACAAAGAACAGACCTGGCTCTGTCACTGGTTGCCCTTGAACTGCCCCTCTGGTCTCAGTTTCCTCGTTTGTAAAAGGGGAATGGGAAGGAAAGAGTTCGGGGGACAGGACGGCTCTGAGTTTGCTCCAGCTCAAACACTGCTCTCTTTTCCTTCTTGGCCTCGCTCCCCACTGGCTTTACTGTGCCTTTTGGGCCCGCACCTCCTCCCTTCTCCCTCACAAGGGTGGTGGGGATGGGAGGACAAATGGGAAGCTGGGCACCAGGACATGGAGAGCACCTGCCTCTTCGGGGTCCCGGGGCCCCAGCCTATCACCAGATCTGCAGCCAGGAACCATGTGGAAGGGTGCGGCCAGGGCCCCCAGGGGAAGGGCTGGGGGGGAGGGGGAGGAGAGAATGCATAACAGATGAGTTTGGAAATCAAATGGGATCTGAGCTCCCCACCCACTCCCTCAAGTCTCCTTATACTTCCTCTTCTATAATTCTTGTTTTCTAAAGAGAAGGGAAATGCTACACTGCAGCCCCTTTTGCAAACGAATGGGAGCCTTAGTGAGTCACTCCGGAGGTAAATGCCACCTCCAGGGCCCCGCGTCTGCCTGCCTGCAGAGGCCTGCACAGCCGTGTTGCCACCGGGGGGCGCGTGTGTGAGGTGCCCCTGCGTGTCAGCGGCTGTGGGTGGGCGCTGGGTCCCTGCAGTGGGGCCCCCACCCCGCCTCCTCCAGACTCTCCCCAGGGTGGCATTCGTGAGGTTCGCTCGCGGATGGGGTCACGGCTCAAGCTGGGGCCCGGCTGAGGCTGGGGGTGGCACGTAGGGACTTGGGCTGTGACCTTGAGTGTGGGGTGAATACAGGACCTGCGGGGGAGGGCGTTGTGGTTCTGGGGCGGTCAGGGCTGGCAGGGGGGCAGGTGCTATTGCATCTGCCTCTAGAAACCGGAGTTCTCGGGCATCAAGCTGTTCTCTCCAGGTATCCTGGTGGAGGGATGTGTGTGTGCTTGTCCGGAGCCTCATCTTCCGTTTTGAGGGTCAGCCTGTTAATTTGCAGACCTGGGGCAGGGAAGGCCAGCGAGGAGGTGTTCCCCCTCCTAGATGACCCGTTGTTCGGGAGGGAGGGGAAGTGGCCGTCTGTTAGCCGGGGATGCCAAACAAGGGTTGAAAGCAAAAATAGAAACGCATTGGGTTCTGTCTGGGAGGGGCGTGGAGTTCTGGTGGACCCGAGAGGCCTCTTCTGAGCCGTCTGCCGCCGATGCTGTGTTTGCTCTGCTCAGTATTTGCAGAGCACGTCATGTCCTGCGCTCCTGACCTCCTCGGGGATCTAGGTGTGCAGGATCCGGGGGGCTGCAGCTGTTCCACGAGTCTGTCTTTGGGAGGTTTGGGGCTGCTGTGGCCATGGTCCAGCTTGCTGCCCTCCTGATCAGAGCTCCCTTTGGCCTGCCATACCCGCCCCC